TATATATATATATATATATATATATATATATATATATGCTTTTTTATTCTTTCAGCTTGCCCATCAGAATGCGACCCATTACCAGATTGTGATGCACAAAATGAAGTGCTTGAATTCGTTGATGTGGGTGTGTGTTGTCCCTTATACAGATGTAGACGTAAGTTCATAACATTGCTTATCATGGCCCCTGTGTATCCTGGTATAAATCATGCTGTAATTGGGAGAATATATTAGAATACACCTCAAATGGGCATGTGGCATGTTAGTGTTTCATGAGTCATATTTATTTTTCATAAAAATGTTTTGATTCACAATCAGTATGACAGAAATTATGACAGAAAATATAACTCCCGAAATAATTATCATTATTTTATTATTAGAGAAATGTGTTCCGAAAGAGCAGGAACCACAGACGATCGAGATTGATGGATGTATGTCAGTACATCCTATTAAACACAATGAGTGCCACGGCGAATGTATATCCGTGTCAAGGTATTCCCACAAAACCAATGAAATGCTAAATACCTGGGACTGTTGTCAACCAATAGAAATTCAAACAAAAACAGTTTCATTATTATGTGAAGACGGCAGAGAAGATGTGTATGAATATAAATATATTGCGGAATGTCAGTGCCGTTCATGTGGGACTCCTACTAACACATGTAAGTAAGAACAATTTCTTGCAAAACTGTTTTTTTTCAATGTATTTAGTAGTTGCAAGTCATTTATTGCATTCAACTACTTTGTTACAGCTTGTATCCCAACTTGGACTGGTTGGATGGATGATGATCCGCACGAGACGGTCGATCCTTTAGCTGAAGGAGAATTTGAGCTATATAGTGACTTGCACGATTTATATGATTTCTGTGAATCACCAGTTGACATAGAGTGTCGTGTAAAATCTCCATACGAACATGTGACAGGTCCTCCACATGATTCAAGTGGTCAGCAGGTTTCCTGTGATGTTGATGAAGGCTTAAGATGTTATCATTCAGATCAGATGCCATCTATATGCTACAATTATGAAATTCGTGTCCTGTGTTTCGAGTATTCTTAGGATCAGTTGTCCCAAGATAAATATGATATCCCATATACAAACACGTTCAGCTATTGTTAATTATAATAATCAGCATGCGATTTACTTTATTATTTCATCATGGTATTTTTTCGGGAAATTTACAAGCTGTGTTATACATATTGTTTGTAAATAATTCGGGTTTTTCATCCTGTTTCATACATATGTATATTAGTATATTAGTATAATGTGCTCATAATGGCGCAGTATATAAACTAATCCTTGCAACTTATATTCTACTTATTATATTTATTGTTTGGAAACAAATAAAGCACCTCACTATGGACATCATCTTCGATATTGTTTAGATCTTTGGTCATGTATTTATTAAAAAATAATATTTAAATATTCGCTATGCTCTACCGACTTCGCAGCCAAGCCTAGTCATTTATTTACATGAATCTGCGCTAATATCATTTCGTCATGTGAAGGTGTTTTGTATATTATTCGGAGTTACATACATTAGTGGGACTTATAACTAATAAGACAATATTTAGATATGTTCTTTGACATTGTGTTGGTAACGGAATTGTCAACAGCATGTAAACACATACAGCTCGTATAGGTTCTGAAGAAGCATGTAACATACGAATGTATCACTTCCAATTCTATTTGTGTCAATTATTTGTAATATCAAATATACACTCGTACGAATCTGGAGGCAGGTAACTGGAATACGTTTATGAAAGATTGATGGATTGCTAGCATTTGTGATTGTATTTTACTGAGATGCCATTCTTGAATCGTCAACTAATAGTAGTATAGGAACCGGAAATGAGTGAAAATTGATATTCTACTGGTAAAACATCACATGTATAACACCTTGGAAACAAACTTATGGTACTTTTTCACTTAAGGTAGAAGCCTACTCATAAATTAAAAAGAAACAGAATTTATTAATTTTGCAATAAATTGTACTCCAAGGCAATATAAAGATATTGACCTAAAAAAGTTGGGGGTCATCGGCCTTTTTTTCGAGAAATGGTTGTATTTTAGTGGAAAGTCGCCATTTTGACACTATTATAACACTTTTACCACGGGTTCCTATGGCAGAGATATTATGCAATATCTCAAAATCTAGCCTGGTGACATCGGCTGAAAAAATCATATAATGTTAAAGATGGAGTACCATTTGTTGTTCTGAATTATTAAAAAAAATCTGGGTTTTAAAAAGTGTCAAAAAATGCATTTTTTCTTTAACATTATGTTCTATGGAATTGTTCTAAAATAGCAATTTTTAAGAAATATTGGGACACGTTTCTCAAAAAGCATAACTGTAACACACAAAATAATGCTATTTCATTATACCATGGGACGTTAGCTTCATGATTGTACATAATAAACTAATGAACATTGTCATGCGATTTATGACCAATTTTGTCAAAAATTAAGACTAGGCTTCTACCTTAGACATTTAACTGAGAAGCTTTGTGTATTGAACATTTACATTTAAAGTATTTATAATACATACAATTTCATTTTGTTTGACTGTGATTGCAACCAATGTACAGTCGTTATTTGTGTAGTAAATAGTATGCAGTTGTTAAATTTGAAATGTACTTATACATTGGATTTCATTTTCTCTAGTGTACTAGTTGAATTTGAAATCAATGGGTTATGGGAAATAAAATACTTTTACGCATGCATATTATTTGAGTTTTGATTTTTACATCATACTATTATCTCTAGTATACTCGTTATTACACAGACGAATATGAAGATGTTTTAGATGTCACAATTCAGCATTCAGGGGACGATGTTTGAATAACTAGGTATTTCTGAGTATGTTTAAATAGTTTTGCATATTTGTGAAAAGAATTAGGGTATGATTATCATAACATAGAAATAATGTTTTGGCTCGTTTGTTTGATGACATTTTCAATTGCATGTACATATAGTTCAATCCAGTGTTTCACTATGTCATATGTATGTATGGAAATCATAGCCTAATGTTTCTGTTTTGTTACAATCCAATTTCGAAGACAATTAATTAGATTTTCGAATATTGTCAAAGTTGTCCTCATTGTTTTTAAGGTATAGTGAAAGGTATACTAGTTATTGGCACGTACATTGTTATATTTAACACTAGTGACTTAACAAATTAATTGTTGTTTTCAATTAAAATATTTCAATTACAGCATTAACAACAGAACGAGTGCTACAGTTAGAACTAATTTACAGGGGGTCAATGTGGCGAGATAACACAAGGGGAACAAATGTGGCATAAACTGGCTATATTGTGCAAGTGAATATAGTCTGCATTTAGCTCAATCATAGTATTGTTAAAAAAAGTCGGCCATTATGCGCCAGATCATTTAGATAAAACCAAGTACATTACACTAATCCATGTAGCCTTTGCGTTTTTAGCGTGTGTTGTTATCGTCGCTTGGAACTCAATTCCCGCGCGTGCGCAGGTGACGACCCTCCCGTTTTATATACTTTAAATCAATAAATAAAACGAAAAAGTTACAACTGAGGGGGCGCTGTTGTGTTGCCTAGCGCTATGAAAAAATAAAGTATTTTTTTACGTTATAAGACCAGACTTTTATTATCCCTTGTTTCGCGAACCCCTCGAATGAGCAGGAGCCGAAAATGAAATAAAAATAAAATTTTATTTCAGCGTTATTTTTTACCGCCCGCCGCATAACAAATCCAAGTTGGATTTTCGTGGAAGTATCATGATCAAAGTACCGAAGTCTCACGCAGATGAGAAACAAGGTTATACATGGAATAAAATTTTATTTCATTTTTTCTCTCCGATCAATGATCTCACTTACAATTCTTTGAGAATCACACAAATCTAATGGAAAAAAAGAATTAATTTTATTTTTTCCGCCCTCCTCAAAAAAATTGCCTTATAAAAACTCGCAAAACAAGGAATAAAAAAAGTCTGGCCTAACTAGCACAGCACAGAAGAAAATGATATTCATCCTCAATGTCCCTCGAATTAGAAGAGGAGAGTGTTCCAAAATGATTAAAGCGGGGGAGTCCTCACCTGCGCATGCCTTAAATGGTCAAATCATGTCATTGTTTACAAACAAGCGTCTACCCATGAGCCTTTGCGTTTTTAGAGTATGTTGTTATCGCCGCTTGAGACTCAATTCCCGCACGTGAACAGGTAACGACTCTACCGCTTTAACAAACACGTAATACATTTTGTACATGTACATGTATGAAGACAAATATAGAAAATCTGTCGCCGCTTAGCCAAACAAATGAATATACATTTTAGGGTGTTTTATGTAATTGGTAAAAGCAAATGAGGATACCTCAAATTATGTACGAAGACATGCGCGTCGGTCGATACTTCCGCCGTACTATCTGAGTTTTTTATTATACATCTTTTCATTCCAAGGATACATAGTCATTATGGGAATGCCGAAATCCAAATAACAGAACAGCCATGTTTGATTATTAATAATATTAAGTACATGGGCAACTACCCCGAAATATGCGCCATGGTGATCCTGGAGACAACAGTCAGTTTATATTTCAGAACACCAATTGCCTTACTAGCAGGAGTAGTTGAATTAGTACAGTAATGTTCATTACGCCTTTTGTGCTATTTTAAATGCGTGTGATGATTTGCGTCATTGCTGCCAGCTTTGCGGTTAGGCTCTGTCCAAAGGTGGATGCTACTACGTTGCTGTTATGTACAGTACAAAATGTAATGAGGTTAATACTGTGCGCCAGGGATTCGGGTAGCTTTGGAAGCAGTAGCTAAGTGTTGTATGGAGGACAACAAAAAACGCACGGAGAGTCAATACGCTCAAAAGCTTTGCATAATACAAACCAGAACATTTGAGAGTTGAGAATGCCAGGAGTGTGTGTGTGGAGGATGATTGGAACTGTAATAGAGCTGATTCTTAATTTGGATGTCATGGTACGTATATTATTGTAGGTATTGCTAATAATTTCTACGTTATATCACAATGGTGAGTGTGATCGTTTCATTTTTAGTTGTTACAACTCTGAGCATTGTCTTTATTTCTGTGGAAAAAATATTACCGCAATAAATGTGAATTATTGCTTGGTGGTACTTGGAAATAGCGTTGGCTTGGCTTACACACATTTGATACAGAACTTTCTGAAATGTTATTCTATTTGGATCTCAGAACCACTTGAACATTATGAACATCATTTTTATAAATTTCGACCATTTTCAATTAACATGGCCGCCAGAGTAAATTGATTAAATGCATGTGGGCATCACACAGTTATTGTAACAATTTCTTGAATCCTGACTTTTCATTCGCTTTTGTATGTAATTTTGTATGTTCTTATGTGTTTAAAAAAAATATTTTTGGTATATTGAATTTGTCCCCCTCCCCCCTCGCTGTCTGGCCCCTTCTCGATGCCTTAATATGAACAAATAATTCTCGTTAAATAACAAATAAGAAAAGAAAATATGAAAGCAGGTTTTGATAAAGGGAAAATATATATTTTAAAGCTTTGTTTGATGCGACCGAGAATCTTGTAAACAATAGCAAAACACAAGTTATTAAATGTTCGCTATATCACGTGTACACACACTACATTATGGATGTGGACCCACTTCGGATTTCTTCTCTAGCAACAGATATTTGGGTTTAAAAGACAACATTACAATCAAACATTTGAAAATTGCGAAACTAGCGAATAGTCTTTTAAATGATCCTTAACTGTGATACATGCATCAGATGCATCGTATATGTAAATCATGATATTATAAGCTATAGCAGCATTTTACAGCTAGCTCTGAAAATATATAACAGTACTCTTTATTCCTTCTGATGGATACTTTTAAGTACCGGAAACACATGTCATATACATTAAATTGTAAGGATGAACACCACCGTCAAAATCTGTTGATTTACTGAATGTCCGAATCATGCATAACAATTGTGCGATTTCTCGGAGCTGAGCTGAGATTTTAAAAACTGTACTTGGTGAACAAGAAACCACTGCTTGACAGTGAGTCGATTGGTTCCAGATTCGCGCGT